TATTTTTCAAAATTCTCCTTTGAACAATGATAGTTTGCTGAATAAGATTGTGTATAAATTTGGGTATCTACTTTTTTGTGGCAGAGATACTGTTGCTGTTAATGGTTGTAAGCTGCAGCCTCATGGTCAAATCAGATGGAAACTGTAACATCGTAATTCTTAGTACCCCTAATATGTTGAATTTTGACAAAACCTTTGTCAATTTTTTTTAAAAATTAAATTATTAGGAATTAGTAAAAGTGACTTGAGAGTTTTATATTCATTAAATAATTTGTGATTTTTTAAATTTTTTAAGAAATACTCAAAATTGGCCAATTTTGCAGGCATCTTAGCAAAAAAAAAATTCAAACTGAATCTGATTATATAGCAAACAAATCTACAAAATTTTAAAAATTTTACAAGAGACTAATAATATTAGAAAGATCTTAGAAAGTAAATTTTTACAATAAAATTTGATAAATTTCAAAATTCTATTTTACAACACGTCTAATTAGCAGACAAGAAACGAACCGATCCGAGAGCAATTTGAGTGAATTAAAATTTTAGTGACCATCCTAGTATTATTTTAAATATTCTACTACCTTGTTTTAAAAGTTTTCCCTACCTGTTAAACTGAAAAAAAAAAGATTTACATTTGCAAAGTGTAATTTTTAAGTTAAAAAAAGTGATAAAGTAATTAAATTTTGACTTTTAAAAGTGATTAAGAGAGAGAATATGCATGAAAAATAATCCTCTTCTCCAACAAGCTTCCCGTAAGTTCTTTCTTCTATTTTTCTCTCAAATACTCTAACTTTCAAGCTTGATTTTGAGGGCCAAACTTTGATTTTCTTGAGAAGTTTCAAGAGGTAAATTTGCTACCCTCATCCTCCTCTACACTTTATGATTTTATTTTTTAAAATGGTGCTTATTTAATTTTCCCTTCTTACTTGGATGAACTTGAATAGGAATGGGAAGAGTGTTATCTTGCTTTTATTGTTGTGGTTTTACACCTAGGATACTAGAATCATGCTTGAAATGGAGGATTAGAAGTGGTTGAGCTAAAAACCTAAGAACCCAAATTCATAGATCACTGTTCACTAAATTTTGTGACTTGTATGGACTGAATTGAGAGTTTATTTCTTCATGAAAGTTGTAACCCTTTTAATACTTGAAATTTAGCCACTGGTTTCACCTCAAACGGATATTTATAACTCAAGTTATGTCCATTTTACTAACAAGTGTTCTAGTTGTCACCTTAGGAGGTTACCCTGTTCCAATAGCCACGGATTTTGATTTACTGAGACTGATGAGTGTAAAATTAGGACTTGACTCCTCATAAAAGTTGTAGGAAATTGTATGCCTGAAATTTAGAAATTGGTTTCATGTCAATAGCTTATGTGTAGCATGAGATATGGTCAAATTACTAAGGTGTGTTCAGAGTGTTAGTATAGTTGAGCCCTGTCAGAAACAACCATTGTAAACTGAAAACTGGCACTATTCTATAGGGTATTTGAACTTAATTTCTTCATAAAATTTGTAGATAAATGAATCCTTAAGATTTAGAAACTGATCTCATGTTAAAATATTAAGTATATCTTGAGTTATGGCAAAAACACTTAACCTTGTGCAATCTGCTCGAAAATTTTCCTGTCATGACTTTGACTAGCTTTATTGTACAATCTATCTCGAATTAGACTTTGACCTCTCATCAATATTGTAGATAATTATGTTATTGAAATTTGGGCTTTGACTTCATGTCAAAACAGTCTATATAACTTTAGAAAATTCTAAAATACTGAACCTTGTTCATATTCATCATTAGGATTCTTCCTACTCTAAGTGTGTACCAACTAGGATGATATTTTTTAAGTTAAGTGTAAGGTGAATGTGAGCTTAACATATTACCAAAAATGGATTAACAAAACAAAATAAGTTTAAATTCCTATGAGATAAAATCAGAGAATTATAAGGTTCTAACTAGCATTTTATTACGTGTATAGATTTTGTCAGAAATCAACTTCAGGCGTTGGAGAGAACAAACATAGATGTAATAGGTAAGCGGTAGGCTATGTAGTAAGGATTATATCATAAACTTGTTTAACCTTATTTGTTGAAATTATCTAAATTTTGTTATGATTGATGATTGTGATTTCCTTATATGCTTAATTTTTATAATGATTTACTTATGTGTTTCGTGGTGAAAATATATGTTTCATACTTCATTAAGACATAAATTGCGTTATATGATATGAATTGTCATTGAGTGAGCATTTATGTGCATGGCGATTTTTCATGGGAAAGTTAATGAAAATAAATTGAAATGATTGAATGATGGACTGAGAACCCTTATAAATTGTATTAGCAAGTTTTCTGATTGTAACAGGTATTTGGAAAATTTTGGAAAGTCCGTATTACAGGGGAAACTCTGTCAAAATTTTGAAAAATATTCAGACTTAGAAAATTTTTTAATCATTCTCGAACAAATTTAGGAATTTGGGAATATGAGACTTTTCTAAGAAAAATCACTTAAGAACTCATACATTACTCATCTGAAAATGGTATTTTGTGTAAAATGGAGAATCGGAGACTATGGACTTTGGGAATACGATAAAGAGGTCCTGAGAGAGGACTTGGGGATAGGAAGGGTAGTGGTTGGCAGCCTTAAAAGACTCAAGCTCGCTACCTGTTATCAGGGATTCCATTGTACAAACTCTCTTGTACCTGGCTGTGCTATTGCCGTATATCATGGTTAGCGAGCTACTAGGTTCATATTTAAGCATGTATCTCAACAATCTCGTGAATAGATTTCCATACCTAGTAGTGTCAACTCCTAACTACCCCAGCACTGATTTAAGAAATGATTTGGGCCTGCATGCATGGACATTTTAGAAAAACAAACTAGGATCATGCACCATCATCATCATTCATTTGGAATGCAATTGATCTGTAAATGTTTATGATGTTTGATTTTAACGTGATGTATGAATTGTGGCTCACCCTATTATTTTTCCATTTTCTTTATTTTCTCTGTACTTGTGGTACTCATTGAACCTAATCGGTTACCACCTGTATTAGAGGGAGATGGCCCAGATTCCACATCAAATGAATATGACAATCAGGCTCATTAGCCCGAAGCTACCAATGGCAGCACGATTGGGGTAGACACACCCATACTTTTGCGGGCATACTTACTATTACCATAAGGACTAGACTAACCCTTGACTTAATAATAATCCTTTTCAGCCCATACCACCACCAATTCCCCCTCCAGCTGAGGAGGAGGAAATAGATATTAATATTCCAGAGGATCATGATCCTTTAAACATCGATGAGTCTAGCGACTTAGAGATGGACTTAGATGAGGAAGATTTATCTCCTGAGTCTGAAGATATAGATTTAGAGTAGGACTAATACTACTTTGTTTTTTTTTTTTTTTTTTATGTATAATGGCATAGGTTAGTCATAGGCATTCTTTTGTTGTACATAGGCCTTTATGGTACCGGGTAGAAACCACTCTTTTTATTTAGTTGTGTTGCTCTGTAAGAAGTCATCCCCGGTGTTGCCCTTATTATTTTGAAGAACTGTAACTAATATTTTATCTATATATAATTATGTTGCTAGGTGAAATGGTAATTAAGTTCTCCAGTATGCGGGAAACTTATTGACCATTTTGCCCTTTGTATTACTGTAAAAGGATATCTAAACACTTATGAAAGTTTACCTTAAGTACTTTATGCAACGACGAAATTCTGAAATGTTTTATCAAAAATCTGGTTGTTAAAGTTTATATTTGTGATTAATGGTTTAATACATCGGTATTATGTATAAGGAGAAGATTATTAGTATATATAAAAAATCACTAATTCTCTAATTGAGGGTTTATAAAGTAAGGTGTTACATTAGTGGTATCAGAGCAATTCGGCCCTTTAGGCCTGGGAAAAGGTCTACTTAAGCTGTTGTGCACTCTTTGTAGTGAATTGTGTGTAGGAAATTATCATGATTTAACATCAATGATGATTTCTTGATGACTTAGTCAAATTCGATTCGATGAATAGGAAACAATGGTGAGACAAGGTGGTCGATTGGCTGCTTCAGTGGAGAGACTAATTGCTGCAATGGAGCAGGGCTGACAAGCTTGGATGCAACAGTACCGTACCTCAAGGTGATGATGCCTTAACAAGATTCAACTTATTCGAGAAGAGGAACCCTCCCAGATTCAATGGAGGATATGATCCAGAAGGCGCACAAGTTTGACTCAGAGAAATGGAGAAGATCTTTCGTGCCCTACGATGTACAAAAAATGACAAGGTTGTGTTTGCTACTTATGCACTAACTGAAGATACTGAGTATTGGTGGCACAGAGCAAGACAAAAATTGGAGAGGCACTTTTCGGAAGATGTTCGAGAGAAGAAAGAGATGAAGTTTTTGGCACTGACGTAAGGATCTATGAATGTAAGAGATTATGTAGCAAAATTTGAAGAAATTTCACGGTATCACCCCCACTACCACAATGCCATCAACGAGAGGCCTAGGTGTGTGAAGTTTATCAATGGACTTCACCCTGAAATTAAGGAAGCCATAAGAATGCAAGAGATTCAAGAGTTTTCTACATCAGTGAACAGATGTAGGATTTTTGAAGAAGATCATAAAGCAAGGATTGCCAAGTTCAGAGAACACCATTCTGAGTCTTCAAGGACGAAGAACTATGGGCCTAACGCAATCAAAGAAGAGGGTTTGGAAGAGGACAACCATATTAGAGGCAACAACGTCAAAAGGGACCCACAACTGAGCTTCCTCAGAACCGTGGTAATAATGAAAACTATATGTCGGCCCCACCTAGAGGAAGATATTTTGTTTGTGGAGGAGAACACTATAGGAAAGATTGCCTAGTAAAACCGTTAATATGCTTTAGTCGTAACAAGCCTGGGCATATGTCCCATGACTGCTTGATGATGAAGAAGGAAGGAGATGGAGGCAATGGAAACTATCACAACTGAAATCCTAGTGGAGGGGTAGCTAGCATGCCAAAGGCTTATGGTAAAGTTTTTGCAATGAGCGGAAAAGAAGTATTTCACTCTGACATGATGATTGGAGGTACATGTATCATCCGAGACACCCCTTTATCTATAGTGTTTAATTCAGGCGCATCGTATTCATTTATTTCTAGTAGTTGTGTGGAACGTTTGAGATTGCCTACTATAGCATTGTCATTTGATTTTTCTGTTTATACCCCAGGTAATGACCCTGTTATCACTGCCAAAGCATGTTGAAAGTGTCCTATCAGTATAGATGGTAGAAACTTTGTAGTGCATCTCTTCTGCCTTCCTTTAAAAGGATTGGAGGTTATTTTGGGATTGGACTGGTTATCTGACAACCATGTCATCATAGACTGTTGTAGGAAGACTGTTGTGTTTAAAGATTTTGAACACGACAATTCTGAGCAGTCAAGGATTCAAGGTGCCAACTACGAAGATGTCTCCTTAAAGGAAGAAGTTCAGGGATTTGTAATGTCCTTACTGGCAGAAGGAAAGGAAGAAAAGTTAGATGATTTTCCAGTAGTGAGAGAATTTCTTGATGATATTCCAGGATTACCCCTAGAACGAGAATTAGAATTCAGCATTGATTTGGTACTAGGAGTAGGACCTATTTTTATAGCCCCATACAGAATGTCCCCGTTGGAACTATCAAAACTTACAAAGCAACTAGAAAAACTCTTGGAAAAGCAATTTGTTAGGCTGAGTGTGTTATCGTGGAGAGCACCAGTACTGTTGGTGAAAAAGAACGATGGAAACATGTGACTATGTGTTGACTACAGACAACTAAATAAAGTGACGATTAAGAATAAATATCCATTGCCAAGAATAGATGATTTTATGGATTAATTACGTGGGGCAACAATATTTTCAAAGATCGATTTAAGATCGAGGTATCATCAAATCAAAGTACGATCTGAGGATATACCAAAGACTGCTTTTAGAACTCACTACAGACACTACGAGTATTTGGTTATGCCTTTTGGAGTGAGCAATGCCCTAATTGTGTTCATGGATTATATGAATAAGATTTTTCATCCTTTTCTGGATAAGTTTGTGGTTGTATTCATTCATGACATCCTTATATACTCCAAGAGCAAATAGGAGCATTTAAGAATTGTGTTACAAATCTTGAAGGAAAAACAATTGTACGCAAAATTGTCCAAGTGTGAGTTTTGGCTAAATAAAGTGAATTTTCTTAGACATGTCATTAATGAAGGAGGAATAGTCGTTGATCTAGCTAAGGTTGAGGTAGTTTTGAAGTGGGAACAACCAAGACTATCACTGAAATAAAGAGTTTTCTGGGATTAGCAAGATACTATCAAAGGTTTATTGAAGGTTTTTCTCAATTGGCCTACCCGTTGACCAAGTTGACATAAAAGGGACAGCCTTTTTTGTGGACCCCATAATGTGAGTCTAGCTTTCAAGAATTGAAGAGTCGTCTTACTTCCTCACCAATGGTAATTTTGCCAGAACCTAACAAGAACTTCAAAGTGTATTGTGATGCATCTAAGTTAAGATTGGGTTATGTATTGATGCAAGATAAAAAAAATAGTTGTGTCTGCCTCTCGAAAACTACGACCACATGAGATAAATTATCCTACCCATGATTTAGAATTAGCCGCATTAGTGTTTGCTTTGAAGATTTGGAGACACTATTCGTATAGAGCACAATTCATAGTGTATAATGACCACAAGAGCTTGAAATATCTCTTTGATCAAAAGGAATTGAATATGCATCAAAGACGGTGGATGGAATTCTTAAAGGACTATGATTTTGAATTGCAGTATCATCCCGGAAAAGGGAATGTAGTTGCAGCTGCACTTAGTAGGAAATCTTTACATGCAACATTTACGATGATATGAGAAATGAAATTGATAGAAGAATTCCAAAGCTTGAATTTAGCAATGGAGTTCTGTCCTAAAAGTGTTGTGTGTGGTACTCTCACTATCACTAATGATTTTCTACAGCAAGTACAAGAAGCTCAATTTAAGGACATTTTTCTCTGTGAGAAGAAAGAATTAACTAAACAAGGGAAAGAAATAGAGTTTATGGAAGGAATAGATGGAATTTTGCGTTTTAAAGGAAGAATATGTAACATGAGTATTCATCCCGGAACAACAAAAATGTATCAAGATTTGAAGAAACTATTATGTTGGCCTGGAATGAAAAAGAAAGTCACAAAGTATGTCAAAAAAATTTAGGAATTTGGGAATATGGGACTTTTCTAATAAAAATCACTTAGGAACTCATACATTACTCATCCGAAAATGGTATTTTGTGCAAAATGGGGAATCAGAGACTATAAACTCTAGGAATACGATAGGGAGTCCCTGAGGGAGGACTTGGGGATATGAAGGGTAGTGGTTGGAAACCTTAAAAGACTCAGGCTCGCTACCTGTTGTCAAGGATCTCACTGTACAAACTCTCTTGTACCTGACTGTGCTATTGTCGTATATCATGGTCAGTGAGCTACTAGGTTCATATTTGAGCGTGGGTCTCAACAATCCCGTGGGTAGATTTCTATAGCTAGTAGTGTCAACTCCTGGCTACCCCAGCACTTATGGTAATAAGGACTAGACTAACCATTGACTTAAATAATAATAATCTTTTTCAGCCTATACTACCACCAATTCCCCCTCCAGCTAAGGAGGAGGAAATGAATATTGATATTCTAGAGGATTATGATCATTTAAACACCAATGAGTCTAGCAACTCAAAGATGGACTCAGATGAGAGAAATTCATCTCCTGAGTCTGAAGATATAGATTCGGAGTAGGACTGATACTACTTTGTTTTTTTCTTTTGTATAGTGGCAAAGGTTAGTCGTAGGCATTCTTTTGTTGTACATAAGCCTTTATGGTACTGGGTAGAAGCCACTTTTTTTGTTTAGTTGTGCTGCTCTGTAGGAAGTCATCTCCGGTGTTGCTCTTATTATTTTAAAGAACTGTAACTAATATTTTATCTATATGTAATTATATTACTAGGTGAAATGGTAATTGAGTTCTCCAGTATACAGTGTTGTGTAATGCGGGAAATTTATTGACCATTTTGCCCTTTGTATTACTGTAAAAGGATATCTAAACACTTATGAAAGTTTACCTTAAGTGCTTTATGCAACGACGAAATTCTGAAATGTGTTATTGAAAATCTGCTTATTAAAGTTTATTTTTGCGATTAATGGTTTAATACACGATATTATGTATGAGGGGAAGATTATTAGTATATAAAAATAAGTCACTAATTCTCTAATTGAGGGTTTATAACGTAGGGTGTTACAACAACTCCTTCCAAAGAAGCAGTTTAAGCTAAATAGTGATGGTTCTGTCCATCATGCTTTGGGAAAAGCTAGCTACATGGGACTTATCTGTAATCACAAAGGCGAATTCATTACTAGTTTCTACAAGTCTCTCCATTTCTGCACCCCCCTTGAGGTTGAACTTTGGGGTCTTGTTTAGGGCCTTAAGCTAGCTGTTTCTAATCATGTTCAAGTTCTTTGGATATATTGTGATTGTAAAGATGTCTTCTCTTTAGTTGTTAATGTTCAAAATAGTGATCATCCATTGTATTATGTTATTAAGGATATTCGAAACCTTCTTAGAATATCCGTTTTGTTAGATTTAACCATATTCTTAGGGAAGCTAACCAATGTGCTAATTGGATGACTAAATTAGGTGATGAAGTTGAGGTGTCTTTTTATTGTTTTGACAAAGCTCCCACTTCTTTAGAGCCTCTCCTAAGGCTTGATGATCTTCAGGTTTCTTGGCCTAGGATGTTAGTCTAGTTGTGTTGTGTTTTTGGACTTTGTAAACCCTGTTTAATAGCAAAAAAAACAACTATACAATTGGTCTGAGTTTGGAGGTGTCTGACCTTTGACATATTTTATTGATCTGTGTGATGTGAAATTGATTGATGATCTTTCTATGATGGACTGATATAATATGATAAATATGAATGTTTGTCTAATGACTAATGTTTGTTGAAGTTAGTGCATTTGAATTATTAAGGAAAATGACATGATTGTGAAATTATGAGTTCTGTGATTATAATACGTGAGTCATAACTGACTAATAGGTGTAATTATGATATATGTATTGTAATACATCGAAAGGTGTACTTACAATACATGGGTTTATATAAATCATAACTCATGTATTATGACATGTTGATTGATGAAAAGAATATAGAAATGAAATGAGAAATATTGAGAAAAAGAATGATATGAGAAATGCTAATAATAAGTATAGATAATCATAGAGATATACTGGGGTGTGAAAGACAAGAGACGATTATGAAATTTGGGAGAAATTAAGGTGATGGATGCTTTCTATGAAATGTGCATAATTATCAAAAATAGAAGAAAAAGACACAACGTGCCTCACACTCATTTCCTGACCTAAACCCTTGACCAACACTTTTGCTAAAAAGGGTTGGGTTGACATATGTTGTATTCGTGTGTAGCGGCTATCCAACAACTAACTATATTATAAAGTCCTCAAAGGATCCTAGGGGCAATGATTATGAAAGTATGATGAATGTGAAATAGTGTAAAAATTGTGTGATTATAGTATATGCATTGTAACATATCAATTGATGTTGTTATGATATATGTGTTATAATACATCATCGAGTGTAATTAGGATACATGTATTGTGACATATCGATTAATGTAATATAATACATGTATTATGATATACAAATTAGTGTAGAAATATATGTTATGAATATTACAATATGTGATTGATTTTTTGTATGTGCTCTTTTGTAGTAATCATTTGTATGATCTGTGTTATTGTTAATCAATGTATGATAAAAATGCGTTAGAGAAGTAATATTATGTACTTATTCTTTTAAAATAAGGGATTTAGTGGAGTGGAGAATACTCACACTTATTAATTATTTTCAGGAAGAAAAATGAAAAGAGAATAAAGATGGTTGCTCAATTCTAAGATCATAGTCTAATGACCTTGTGAGGGAAGACTACTTTGTAGTATTTGAATTAAATTGAAGTGTGTAATATTTTATTAAGTTTTTATTTTCAGTTAATAAGGTTATGTAATTATTTCATGTTAAAGTTAAAATTTATATCACTTGATAAATTTTGTTATAAATATCAATTTAAAGTGTTTGTAATATTAATAGTTAATTATTTTGATTTTATTTTGCATTCAAATTCTAGATAAAAATTTACTATACAAGAAATAATCTAAATTAAGTAAATTGTTCGAAGAAAATTTTAGTTTTGCTCTGTTGATAAATTAAAAATGCTAAAAACTATTTTATTTTTAATCTTTGAATACTTTTGAACTTTTACAAATATAATGATAAGAGTATAAGTTTCATTTCATTTTCATTTCTAGTTATATTTTATCATTTATATTTGATAAAAATAAGAATGTTAGAATTAATATATTTATTAATAATTATATTTAAAAATTAAAAATATACATTATATTATTATATAAATATGTACGATAATTTTGTAAATTAATTTATTTTTTATAACAATAAAAATTAAAAAAGTAATATACTTTTATTTGCACTCATTAACATATACTTTTAATATTTATATTAAAATTATATTTAGTATACTTTAAAAATATATTAATTTAATAAAAAAAAACTCATATAATGTAAATACATATTTACTACAATATATAAAATCTATATAATGTATGGGTGTACTTAATAAATTAATTAACATATTTAATTTATTTTTAATATTTATTATGATTAAATTAGACTATTAAACAATATAAAATATATTATTAAAAAAATTAAATTAATAAATTCTATCATTTTTAATTTCATTTTTATATATCTTTTAATCTAAATTAAGAATATGTATGGTATTATTATCAGTGTATATGTATAAAAATTTTGGAAATTAGTTTTTTCATAATAATAAAAAATATATACTTTTATTTGTGAATTACATAATTTTTAATATAATTTATATTAAAATTACATGTAGTATTATTTAAAAAAATATGAAAGTAATAAAACAATAGAGATTTTTTTATTACTTATGTTTAACTTGTATTTTCTTTTAATCTAACATTTTAAAGTTATTTATTTACTTTTATTTATTAACTAATAACTAAATTAAAAGAATTTAATAATATGTTTTATTGTTATAAACTTATATATATGATAGTTTTAAAAACTAATTTATTTTTAAATTAAAAAATATATTATTTAATTTTTTTTAAATAAAATAATTTAATAACTAGTATTATAAAATGTGGGTGCGGGACAGAGTAAATATTATAATATAGGAATTAAACATGTTTATTATGACTTTTTATAAATTAATTTAATTAATTAATAAAAAATATTTTAGATTGAGAATAAACAGGCTCTCCAATGATGGGATGTATATATATAATTTGGTATGGCGTGTGTGTGGGTTAAAAGGTAAGAAGAGATAAGGCAAACGCAATCGCAATGGCAACGGCAACGGCAACGACAGCGGCAGCTTCTGCGCTATCGTTTCGGAAGAGCTTCGGCGTTAACAGTAACACAGCGTGTGCCTGTATGTTATTCTTATCTATTCTTCTGTCTGACCTGTTCTGCCCCTGTCGTTTCATTTACTTCTGAATGTCGTTTCAGCTTCGCTTGGCTTCCTGAACTCTCAGTTGACAGGCCTCAGAATCTGCTCCCCAAAATCTACCATTGCTTCCCCATTGGTATTACCCCCCACACCCCTCCCCATCGTCGCAAGTAACCACTTTTCTCTTCTTAATTCCTCTCTTTTCAAATTGTTACTTTTTTCTTTTTGTTCCTTAGAAATAACCCATTATTTGTTTATGGGCAGGGAGAGTGTGCCCCTTCACTGGGAAGAAAGCCAACAGGGCTAACAAAGTCTCCTTTTCGAACCACAAGACGAAGAAGCTGCAGTTTGTGAATCTTCAGTACAAGAGAATTTGGTGGGAAGCGGGGAAGCGCTATGTAAAGCTTCGTTTGTCCACTAAGGCGTTGAAAACCATAGAGAAGAATGGACTCGATGCTGTTGCAAAGAAGGCTGGAATCGATCTTAGGAAGAAGTAACCCTCTCTGCATATGATTGTAAGAATAATTCATAATTCATTGCTTTTATTTGTAGATTTCTTTCTGTCTTTTTATGCATTATTTTTGAGGATTAGGTTTGATTCTAGCCATGCTGCAGAAACTAAATTTGGTGAGGTTGAATCTCATGAATTGAAACCTCTTTAATGATCAGCGTTTATAGTTTGCCCATTCAGTTTTTAGTCACCCGTTTTTGTTGCAACGTATATTTTGTATTGGAAGGTATCAGAATTAATTCTCCAATTATAAAATAAGCAAGCCCTTAATACCTTTTATCTGCATCAATTATTATTAGAAAAACTCTCAAAACTTAAAAGTCATACAAGTTGAGGAACATGTTAACCCTAATCGAAACATATGAAATATATTTTGAATTGCAAATTGATTGAGTAAATTGCAAATAATTGGACTTTGCTAAGATAGGCGTTTACATGTATCCTCTTCTTCGCTATCGAATCTATTGAGATGTTACATGAATTGGGGTCATAGGTAGAAACTAGAAAACTTTGCCATGGGAAATTGCAACCAGTTTTGTAATTCCTTTTGCTAGGGAAAGAAAAATAAAGAATTTAAAAGAGAATTAAAAGGAATGCATAGGCAGAAAACCGTGGTCAAGTAACCTGCTTGCAGTTTCGTGGTAATAATTATGGCATAAAAGCCCAGAGTGCGATTAGTCAGAATAAATATAAGCCATATATGGTCATGAGCTAACATGCTAACTGCTCCTGATTTCTCGTGAATAAGTTTCTGCGGCTAGTGACTAATCAGTGCCTATAGCACTCTGTCATGTTAAAGTTTATGCCGTATTATTATCGACAAGAATAGAAGACACGTCAAATATAAGTTGTACTTTCCATCATCATACAGTGAGAAACCGAGAACGGCTGCCATAGCTGAATTGAGCATGCAAAACACTATATTATGCCAGAGCAGAGACTATTTATCTAGTTTAACAGATCTTCATAATAGACGCAGTAAGATGGGAGAATTTGTAAGAGACTATTCAATTCTTATGTAATGCACAGTGCCACACTGCCACCAAAACTCAGATAAACTAGTGAGTTTACAAATTTCAGAGAATATTTATCCAGAATTTATACAAAATAAGTAAACTGAATATTGTCTTCCCGTAGGAACATAAATTTTTTTATCATCTTCATGCATTTGATAGTAGATATTATAACTCCTATTGCCAAAACCCCATAACCTTTGATGGTTCACCGCCACATCACTGTACAGCAACCTGTTACAAATTTCGCAAGCTTATGATAAAATTTAATATAATTTTTTGAACTCAATTTATCACAGTAGATTGAACGAGGTTGAAGGAAAAATCACATTTGATAGAGATCAATCAAATATTTATGTAAAAGCACGTTGCAATAAAACAAACATAAAACATGGAATTTTAACGTAGATCCAAATATGCACTGAAATTGTACACTTGCTGCTTTCAAGCTTCATGACATCCAGCAAAACAGGAATGTCTATTCATCTGCAACATTCTGCATAAACCTCTGCAACACAGGATCCGGGCGACACAATGTGAAAGGAATATATATATTGAGAATTAACTAGTACTTTGGATTTAAGATGAATGGTCGTTAAGTACTAAAATACAGGTTAAAGAATATCTTGCGAGGCCTTACACCAGATAAGTTCAGATCCCCTCAATCTATGATTATTTGTTGGAATCAACATCAACTCATCTAGATAGAGACGAGAGACCGGTCACGGATTTTCATGTCTAAGATATGAGTAAAAGTTGACGATAAGATAAGATAACTTGATATTGAAATTATCTAAAATTTTATATGCATCTTAATCAAGATAAGTATTACACTTATATATATTGGAAAATAATATAATTATATTTTTTTAAAAATTATTAATTATTATTTTCATTTGATTATTTTAATTTAATTTTTTATGAAGTGTTATTTTTGTCGATATTTATTTAAAATTTTAAACCATTGAAGTATATCTAGTCAAGATGTTGAGTGACTACCATTTATTTTTGTAATAATCAACTTTGTGGATAGACAGTTAGATTCGTAACGTTTACTTGTGCATGAGCAATTACACATAAAGTTGTATATTGATATATGATTTTTGACTACTAAGATCATCTTTGAGGACATTGATCTACACACACCTCAAACTAACTTATTAATCAACTATTTCGGGGTCAATATTACAACAATATATATATTGTTCGAGATATTAGGCATAATAGGTTTGAAGACTCCCTTATAGGTATAGTAGAAACTAGTCTTGACCAAGAGTCAGTCTACTTTAATTGTTATCCAAACAAAACCGCGAGTCTTATAGATAGAAATATCCTAGATTATATTTCTCAATATTCACTTTCATGGTTTAAACATGAAAGAGGGATCTATTCCCACAGCCTTGATCTACAGGATTCAATACAAAGTCATGAACTCTTGTGCGTCTACAATCCTTTTCAAACTTCAGAAAGGAGAAATAAACTTGTTTATCACCGACATGACTAGGGCTAATGTTTCCCTTCCAAGAACTATCAAGTAAGATGAAGTCTCTCTCCCGGAGAAGTGAGTTATGGATAAGGTTATGCCTTCTGTTCCTCAACCTACTCCTTAAAGACATTACTCAAGATAATTTTACGAAAGATGAAATAACTTAGGATAAATTCTTTCTCTTCAAGAATTGAAGCCTTTACACAGTCTGGGTATGCTTTTGCGAGAATATCTTTCTCTACTAGATCCTAAGCTATTTGATCTGAGATACCAAGATCTATATGTCATGTTCCTTCTCATTTAAACTACATGGTTTAGATACTTCTTCTAACATCCCTAGAACTCCTTATCATTTTGATAAGCATGAAGAAAACTAGAGTATCCAATCTCCAACCTATTCTTCCCTTAATGAATTATGATATTATTTTATAAATTTGTTATAGATAAGGAAACCCTTAAAAATGATTTCTATTCTGAGGATTGGAAATTTTAGAGAAAGTGGTTCTTCTAGAATTACAAGGGTGTTCTTTAGTACTCCAAAAAGAAGATGAAGCAGAATCTTTGTCTACAAATAAAGAATCAAACAATCATATCAAAATGAAGATGACTATTTCAGAATTGATCTAGGTGACATTTAATTTGTAACATATACTGTAGCAACAGTTCCAGTTAATTAACCATAATTGTAGAAAAAGTGTTTTTAAATTCTACATAAGGAGGCTTCAACCAAGTTGTGAGGTACCATTTCATTTAGTAAGACAGTGAGTGTTTAGAGAGAAGAGCTCTTTTGAGATAGAATCTTGTAAGCTTTTCTTTCAAAAGTTATTAATAATATTATTTTTTTCTTGTATTTCCTATTTCTCTTTTCCCTCTAAGCTAGTTTTGTTCAGATTATCGTTGTCCAAGTTTCTTTCCTTCTCTCTCTATCGGTCTTAAGCTAGTTTTTATTGTCGTTTCAATGTTTTATGTTTTAAATTTTATTTATTTTTCTAGATTTTATATTCTACATTTCATTTAGTAGTTCTCCTACTGTCTACTTTCCTCTAGTCCTTTTAATTTTAATCTTTTTAATTTTTTAGGGTTTAGGGTGGGTGTGTGTGTGTGGCCGACTTTATAAATTTAATCTATATATTAAAATAGAGATTTTATAATTATTAAAGAAAAATTTATATGATAGAAATCCTAACATATTCAGCTTCCTTGAAAATGTAAGCATATTTTTCCTCTATTTTTTTCTCCTTTAATCTCATTATAAAAATCTTAAGCTCTTTTATTAAGTATATGTAGTAGTATAGTGTGATATTTCTCAAATTATTTTCACGGATAATAGTCGTGTGCCTAAGCTTCCCGAGTGGAATTTGTGAACTAATTTAAAATTTCTCAAATTATGTTTACTATTGACTTAATGCTTTTTTGGCAAAGGTAGGGCAATGCAAGCGTAATGTGTGTTTTGGAAAGTTAATGGCAAATTTGCTGGGTGGAAAGAAAAACAACTTTCTTTTGCATGCCTGAGTGACTCTCTAAAAGTAGTATTAATGTTATTCATCTGTATCCCATGATGACTTAGCTTATTCAATGAATTCTATATGCCTTAAAAGAAAAGAAAAAATTAGAAGAAAATTTAAGCCAATAAATAAGTAAAATTAGAATACTTTGTACAAATTCATTTAAGTAATAGTTATAATTAGTATTAATCACAATTGACCTTAATGTTAGGTTTAATTGAAGTAGATTAAGAGATAACAAATATTGAATTTAGGAATTGGAGAGAATTTTGAGCAATTGAATCAACTTATGAATATTAAAAGTGTAGGTGCTAGATTGTAAATTTTAGAAATCTTAAAGATATTTCTTAATATGTTTATTCCATTTTAAACCAATATCTAAGTTACATAAAAGAAATAATTTTCAAAATTCATTTATATCAAAACTTTCATCATTTACTTATTATTTACAATCTAAAATTTTATATATTAGAATTTATAATTAAAAGTTTTTGAAGGAAAAGGAAAGAGAAGGATAAAATGGTATGTGTGTGTGTGTGTGTGTATATATATATATATATATATATATATATTTAAAATTAATATTTTTTTTAAAATTCATCAACAACAGTCACTAAGTCTTAAAACTCAAATTAAGTACTATAGAAGTTTTTTTAGAGGATCACAAATGAGGACTCCTTCAGTCTTAGGCTCTTTACTCTCCAACCTAGATAATCTTTTTTCTTTCTTGTCCTCCATAACCTTTTTCTTATCAACCTTAGTAGGTATGTACCACAACTCAAACCTATCCTTATTCTCATAAAGTTGTAACCATTTTGTTGCTTTCATAATAGTTTGTCTTAACCCAAATCCATATTGACAGCCTCTATTGAGCATGATTTTAGCTGTCATTATGGATGTATACAATTGAGGCTTCACGATTAGGACTTCCTCTCCAACATAGTGATATCATGATTGATATGTGCCTCATTTAGCACCTTCATAAGAGTCTTCTATGTGGCTCAGAGTTTAGTAACAAGGATAAAAGATATATCCTTGTTGGAGTTATGTTTAACTGTTCCACAACTTGGTATTCACTTTGCCGAATAAATTTCAAAAACTCGCAAGCTTCTTCATCAAACACTACCTTCTTTATTTCAAGCATTTTCTCTTCATTAACATTTTCAAA